TCCCGAGTAGCTGGGACTACAGGCACCTACCACCACGCCCAGCTAATTTTTTGTATTTTTAATAGAGACAGGGTTTCACCATGTTAGCCAGGATGGTCTCAATCTCCTGACCCTCATGATCCGCCCGCCTCAGCCTCCCAAAGTACTGGGATTACAGGCGTGAGTCACCGCACCCAGCCCAAGGACATAGTTTTAACATACACGTGTGTCTACGTATCGATGATTTTTTAGAATGATTCTGCGGCAGTATGGTATCTTAAAGGGATTTCAAAATCATTAAAAATATTGTTACATAATGATTATGTTCATTTTACTAAAATTTGATTTTTAAAAAATTGGTCATGCATGTCTAAGAGCTTTCTATTCATTGAAATAGTTCCTAATTTGTGAAATGCAGGTGTCTATTTTACAGATTTGTCTCCTCCATAAGAAACAGGTTTTCAAGGGCGAAACTGTTCTTTATCCATCTGCTGTTTAGGTGGTGGCATGTAGGCTGTCAAGCAAAGGCCTATTAAGTGAATTCCTCAATTACAATAAATATGATTTATATATTTAATTGATCAGTATTAAATTTTTACATTTTAAAATAATTTAAATTTCATTTTAGAAGAATATCATTTAGGGTTAAAAAAAATGTTTTTTCAGTTCCCTTAACCAATAAGTCACAAAAAGGTAAATAATTTTTTTTTTAGCACTTGCTAATGTGTCATGCATTTTTAGTACACTTGGTGTGGATTATCTCATTTAATGCTCACAGCATCCCAGTGAGGTAGAAACTATTGTTTTATCCTTCACCCTCATCCTACCAAGAGAGAGACTAACATTTTAAGCCACACAACCATTAAGTAGGTTAAACTCAGGCAGCTATGTTCCAGAAACAACACTCGTAGCACGTTTTTTTGTTTTTTTGTTTTTTGTCTTTTTAACATTGCCATCTAAACAAGAGCACTCAGCTATTGAGGAAATATGTGATCTATATGATGTCTCCATAATTTCACCTACTCACAATGAGGCCACCTTTTAAAAAATCTGAGTTTTTGAAGCCTGTTTTGTTTGTTAAACTTTCTACATAAGACAATTAATGTTGACTTGGTGGAATAGGGTGGAGTTTTT